CTGCAAATTGCCCAGGATGAGCCACCTGCTGGATATCCTAGGTAGTGCAGCAGCCTGCCCCAGGTAGGGCTCATAGCCTACCCTGAGTGACAGGCTCTCAGTTGCCCAGTCCCTATGATCCTTCCAATGCTGCTGGAGGGTTCTGCCCTCATGTACCACAGGCTGTGGTGACAGAATGGTCCAACTGTCTGTGACAGGGAGGGACCCAAAGAAGGGCCAGCCTAGAGGCTAGCTCAATGGCACCTGGTTTGGAAGCCACATGTGCATACCTGAGTCCCAGATCCCATGCTCAGCAGGTACACTCGCACACTGTCACACATGCATGCTCACACCCACATTCTCATAGGCACTGCCTCACATGCTGATACCCACAGATGGATGCATGTATATGCATTCTCCTCGGGTGCTCATGTGTGTGCGGGCGAGCACAGGCACGCGTGCGCACACGCACACACACACAAGAATGTATGCTTACACATACATAACCATCTCCTGCCTCCACTGTATGGAGACCCTCACTCAAGAGCTCCTGAAGAGGGAAGGAAAGACCCAGCTCCCCTTCTCTGGGATCGTCCCACACTTCCTGTAGAGAGGACTGTGACAGGCACTGCTCAGTTTTTCTGACTCCACGCCACATTTGGAAGTTCCTCTGTGTAGTTTCAGTTTATCTACTGTCTCAAGAGTCTTCTAAGATTTATTCATCCTGTTAGCAAGCAGTATCTGTTAGTACTAGCATGCACACAGGTCCCAGGACATTGGTTTCTGTTCAGTGAGCCGGTTGTGTAGCTTTTCCTGGAGAGAAGTCGGCAAAGGTCTATTCATGTCAGATGAGATGCAGAGCACAGACCGAAGGAAAGACTCCACACACATACAGCTTAATGAGCCAGTGTGCTGACTGGAGTCTCTCACAGCAGCTGCCTCACTGAACTGCCCACTCCAGCATGGCACCTCAGGACAGAAAGCTGCACCCCTGTAGCTCTCCCTACAACGTGCAGGCAACTCCACTCCCCAGAAGTTGTTACTACTTACATACAACCCTTGCTTAGGCAGGGCCTCGTGAGTCTTGTGTGTTTCAGGAATTTCCCGTAGGTTTTGTTTACTTCCTGAGCCGTGTGATCCTCTCTCCTCTCTCCAGAAGGGGGTGTTTAAAATTGTAGGGGATCACCACAAAGACCCCCAGCAATGGGGGAGACAACTCTCCCCTGTTGGACACTGACGGCAGTGACCCTCTGGCAGAATCAGATACCGCTTTTTATTCCTTCCCCTGGCCACACCTCAGTGTGGCCAGTAGTCTTAAGCTTTCTTTGCTAGTCTGTTGGGTGTAGAGAGGAATCCATTGTGATCCATGAGAGCGCTTTCCTACAACCGTCATCGGCTGTGAGGTTCCCTGTCCTTGGAGGACAAGTCATGCCCTCTACCCATCTTTCCATCCCTTGTGTGTCCTTAGGTTTTTAGTTCTTTACTGGATACACTCCTTCCCTTGTAAATGACTTCAGGAAGCTTCTAACCCATGCCTGTGCGTTCCATTGCTCAGACCATATAAGCTCTGCAGCACTGTGACTAGACATCTGCCATAAATGACTTAGGAGTGAAAGATTCCTTAGGGCTCTTTGTTTCAGAGTTCAGACCACAATCCTTTGCTTTGAAGATTCTGGTCCAAGGTGAGTTGGAATGTAGAGGGAGTGTGCGGCAGAGGATGCTCACCTCTTGGCCAACCAGAAGCAGAGAGAGCAATCCCGAGGGACCTGGGGTGAGATACACTCCCAAAGGCATCACCCAGTGACTTGCTTCCTCTAGACAGGCCCCGCCACCTAAAGTTTCCAGCCTTCCAGCTGAGCATCAAGGATTCAACCTACCAGCCTTCTGGGAAGACACTTCACACCCAAGCTGTAAAGCATAGTTTTTTGTTTGTTTTTTTAGCCCTGACTGGCCTGAAACTCACAGAGATCAGCCTGCCTCTGCCTACCTGGTGTTGAGATTAAAGGTTGTGCCACTATGCGTGGTCTGGTTTTGTTGTTTTGAGACAGGGGCTCATGTAGTCCAGGTTGGCCTTGAACTTGCTGCACAGCCAAGGCTGTCCTTGAATTCCTGATCCTCCTGCTCTCACCTCCAGCATGCTGGGATGGCAGGCCCAGGCCACCACACCCAGCTCTCCCACCAGCTGTGCTTTGTATCTTGTTAAAGAGTCTTTCAGGCAGGTGAGCTGGTTCGGAGGGTAAAGGCATTGCCACCAAGCCTAAGACCTGGGTTTGATCCTAGGACCCACATCGTGGAAGAGAACGGACTCCTGGAAGCTGCCGTCAGTGTGTGTGCTATGGCTTATGCACACACACAAAATCAGTAAATAGTTTTGGAAAGAGAGATCATGCTTCATCCCTGAGTCACGCATATCACAGGGCTTTCCCCAAAAGTTCCATGCCTTTGTTTAGTTTGAAACTGTCCTGCAGGGCATGTAGGCCATCCCTCCTGGCCTTTACTGGTTCCTTCCTTCTCTCTCTGTCACATCTTATGTCACATTTCCTCCTCTGAGTCCTCATCCCTAATCCATTGCAGAACCATCAAGGTCCAAGGCCTGACCCTGCCTTTCTACATGAACAACAACGACCAAAGACAACATCTAGGCTCAGCCCCAACCTGGTGCCTCTGTCCCAACCTGGTGCCTCTGTCCCATGAGTCCATTTCCTAGCCTGGAACACCTGTCTGCTAGCACGTTCCAATTCAGTGGAGCACAGCTGTCACTTGTGAGATGATGCCTGCTGTGGAAGGGTATGCAATTGAAGCTGACCGCACACAGGGCTCTGGGTGGGTGGGTGGAGCAAGGCGCTCATTCTCTGAGCCTCCTGCAGAATGGTTGATGGGATTCCACAGGATGCCTAGGAAAGCCTGGGCCTGAGGGAACCGATAGCCATCCCCAGCGAGATGGAGAATCCTTCCAGTGCCTCCTAGGTGAAGCCAGAGCTAAAGGCACCCTCTGAACTCAGAGAAAACATTAGGTGTGTGCAGAATGCTGGGACTGTGATGCTTCACTGACCTGTACTCCTCACCTGTATAGAGCAGGACACTGGGGCCCAGAGAAGGTGGTGGACTTGCTCAGTGTGACACAGCAGGAACAGAAAAATTCCTGCAGATCATGCCCTCTGAGTGTTGGTACAGTATTGCATAGGAGACTTATGCTGGGTTGATCTGCTCACAGTTAGTCACACCATCCTTACTGGCAACAGGATTGAGAATGCTTCAATCAGCCACATGAGCATACTTGGGACTTCATCGCTGTCTGTGTTTGCAAGCTTGGGGCCTGCCAAGCTGTGGAAGTCTTTGGAAAGGTCACAAAGCAGGGAACAGGGATGGTCAGGCACCTGAGGAGCCTCAGGTGACAGACAGCTGCAAAACCAGTCTCTACAGCCTGCAGCTGAGGAAGAGAACTTTGCCAACAGCCTGGTGAGCTTGGAAGCAGACACTCCAGTAGCCAAGCCTGCAGTGAAAACTCAACCCAATAGTTCCTATGTCTACCTCCTTGAACAGCAGACCTGAGATGGATGACTCTGGACCCTCAAAGGCGCCTAGATGATGTCTATGTGTTGTCCTGAACTTCTGCATTTGAGGGTCCATTTGCAGCACACTTAACCCTGGATGCTCCTAACCCAAGAGCAATTGTCCTGCTGTATCACCATCCTGCGCTTACATCATCATCCTGTGCTTACATCATCATCCTGAGCTATATCACCATCCTGTGCCTACATCACCATCCTGTGCTTACATCATCATCCTGCGCTTACATCATCATCCTGTGCTTACATCACCATCCTGCGCTTACATCATTATCCTTGGCTTTCTCCTTCACAGATACACATCTACTTACCAAGCACGGAGGCCATGCAGATGCCAGGTACCATGGATTCCCTTCACTGAAAGAATCCCTGACTTCTAACGGCAGTTTTAAGTACTCTGCTTCCAGCCTCCCTTGTTAGCAGGCTGTGATGCAATTGTTGCGGTCACTTCCCAGGCTTTTTATGGCTGGGTCACTAAGTCCTGTGAATTTGAACCAATCTTCCCAGGCCCTCTATCTAAGGAGTCTTCCTGTCTTGTCAGGGTGAGGGGCTGGATCCAGGCTCTTGGGCTGGATGCTGTTCTGTGGTGACTGCTCTAAAGGTCTTAGAGATGAGCAGGCTACCTGAGACCTCTGCCTGCTGTGGGCAGGTCCCATTGCCATCAGAGACAAAGCAAGGGATCTCTTCACAGAGTGAAGGCACACCCTCAAGACAGAGCAAGGACTTCTGGAAAAGTCACAGTGCCGATAGCTTTACCAGAGGGAATGGTATTCATGACAAGTGGGGGAGGGGCTTACTCATTTTCTTCCTCAAATGTGTGGTGAGAACAGGTAAGTGTGTAAGACTGATCATGTGAAGATGCTCTTTTAGTGAAGCAGAGAGCAATTAGCAATCATCTTGGTCCACCATGCTATTGTCATCCAGTTTCTGAATGTCCTTGTGACCTTCTTGTTTGAGAAGTTTGCATGGTGCTCTGCTGACAATTCGTCATTGTCCATGTCAAGCCACCATGAGAAGTAAATTTGCCTCTTTTTTGTTTTTGTTTTTGTTTTTATGAGACAGGGTTTCTCTGTATTGTTTTGGAGGCTGTCGGTCCAGCCCGGCCTCGGACTCACAGAGATCCGCCTGCCTTTGTCTCCCGAGTGCTGGGATTAAAGGCGTGTGCCACCACCGCCCGGCTAATTTGCCTCTTTTTTAATTTCTTATTTTCTGAAACAGGGTCTCACTATGTAGCCCTTGCTGGCCTGGAACTCACTATGTAGACCAAACTAGCATGGAACTCACAGAGATCTACCTGCCTCTGCTTCCTGAGTGCTGGGATTGCAGGCATGAGCCACCACACCTGGCTGAATCTGCCCCCTGTTTTTCCTGTGCCTAGCTAGACTAATTCAGTGCTAGATGGTTTCATGGACAGATTTAAACAAAATCCAACAACTAACAGGCCCTCAGTACCTGGAGGTGTGGGGGGAGTTCCACTCCAGGCCTCTCTGACAGTGACTATGAGCTCAGACCTCCCGGGTAGAAATCGACCATCGTCAAGGCCTCCACCAGTTCCTGGGAGCCTGCTGCTTCTCATATTCCCTGTTGCCATGGCAACAGCAGACAATGGTTTCTGTGGAGTTGGGTTCTATAAATAATTTCTCGATGGGCCAGGGTGATGTGAGTGAGGCAGGCTCTGCTGGCAGGTTCCTGGTGGCCGCTGCCACCACAGGGAAGAAGCGGAAGTGGGGTCTTGGCCTCAGAGATTAGCTCTGGCTCTGCCCTGACTGGCTGGGCCTTTTCTTCCTGAAGCAGCTAGAGTCAGTTCTCAGGGATACAGCTGACAGATCAGTGGCGGCCTCCTGGAGCAGTGCATGGGTGCTGCAGCCCAACCTGGAGGCTCAATGTGCTGACCTTCCTGTGGCTCAGCGCAAGCTCAGGAATGTTCTGGACTGTAAAGGGCACCTGGGGAATCAGATCCAGGGAGATGAGGGCAGAGCTGCCTAGAGCCGAGTCTGAGAGCAAAGGGGGGAACAGCTGGAGGCTCAGAGAAAGGGAGGAGAAGCTGGGGAAACGCAGAAAAAGAAGGTCTCCAGGTAGAGTGCTTGCTCAACAAACACAAAGGCCTGGGTTCCATCCCCAGCAGCACACAGATGTGGTGGCACACACCATATCCTAGCATGAGGGGGGACAAGACAGAGGGATCAGAAGCTCAAGGTCATCCTCTAATACACAGTTTGGCCCCATCTCAAAAATAAATAAGTAAATAAATAAAAATACAAGGCAAGAGATTAGAGAGATGGCTCAGTGGTTAAAAGCACTGGTTCTTGAGCCAGGCAGCGGTGGCTCACACCTTTAGTCCTAGCACTTCGAAGGCAGAGACAGATGGATCTCTATGAGTCCATTTACAAAGCTAGTCTAGGACAGCCAAGGTACATAAAGAAACCCTGTCTAGCTGGGCAGTGGTGGTACATGCCTTTAATCCCAGCACTCGGGAGACAGAGACAGGCAGATCTCTTGCGAGTTCAAGACCAGTCTGGTCTATAAAGTGTGTTCCAGGACAGCCAGGGCTACACAGAGAAATCCTGTCTAAGACAAAACAAACACAAACAAACAAAAAAGATCACTGGCTGTTCTACCAGAGAACCTGAGTTCAATTCCCAGCAAGTACACACACAGTAACTCACAAATGTCTGTAACTCCAGTTCCAGGGAATCCGATGTCCTCTTCTGGGCTCTGTGGACACAGGACATACATGTGGTATACAGACATACATGCAGACAAAACACCCACACACATGTAAAAGAAAATAAGGCAAGACCTGCATATTTCTCATATACTAAGTGAAGGTAAATCACCAAGGTTTGGCCTGAACACCTACTGTCTCTGCTTGGGCAGGTGAGTGTGGCTACATCAACACTGACCCCTGAGAAGGTCAAATGTCAAGTGTCATAAGGTCAAATGTTAAGTGTCATAAGTTACTCACGGCTGCTAACCGAGGAAACATCCCTTCTTTAAGCAGCAGACTCAGCCTGGGCACTGCTCTTGATTTTGACTTCAAAGGTTTTTGTGTCTTGAGAAGGGACTCTGACACTACTGGGGTCACTTGGATGTCAGCTTGGTGACAGGGGTCTTGTTAGCCAAGCACTCAGAAGACCCAGACGGCAGAGATGACTCTAACTTTGGGGTGTCTGTGGCTGGCGGATCTCTATGAATCCTGGGTTTTCCCTCCGTTGGTGTTTCCCAAATATCAGGGATGTTTTCTTTTTCTTTTTTGGTTCTTTGAGACAGGGTTTATCTGTATTGTTTTGGACCCCTGTCCTGGAACTCGCTCGGTAGGCCAGGCTGGCCTCGAACTCACAGAGTTCCCAAGTGCTGGGATTAAAGGCGTGCACCACCAACGCCCAGCTAGGGATGTTTTCTTAAAACAGCAACGGATGTCTCAGTAAGTAACAGTACTTGCTGTGTCATCCCAATGACCCGAGTTTGATCCTCAGGTCCTATGGTAGAAAGACAGCTAAGTCTCCAAAGTTATCCTCTGACATCTGAATGAGAGAAGAAATAAAAAAGGACATGACTCCTCCTAAGCATGGGGGAGGAGAAGGTATATTATAGCTATGATGGAAAGCACAACCAGAGTGAACATGACCCCGAGCCAAACCACGGGAGGACAGGAAAAGAGGAGGGGGAGACACAGCAGACCCAGAGACTGGTCTTCCAAAATGGCTGGATTATATACGGAAGGGCAGCCCAGCCCCCAGGCTGGAGAAGTTTAGGGTAGGGGGCGGGATATACCAGCCATATCCTGTAACGGGTAGGGGTTGAGGGATGCTGGGAGAACCTGGCAGCCAGGTCCGTTTGGGTATGCTAAATAGTTACCTCAGTTAGCCATCTGTCCCTGGTTTGAAACCTAACAACCTAAAAATGTACACCATGGCACACATGTACCCATGCTCACTTACCATGCACACATACCCACAATGAAGACAATAAGTAAAAATCAGTGTGGTGGCACACAGCTGTAATCCCTGAGGCAGAAGGATCAGGAGTTCAAGGTTTCAGATACATAATGAGTCTGAGGACAGTCTGGGCTACATGAGGCCCTGCTTCAAGAAAAAAAAAAAAACATAACAAAACAAAATCACAACAAAAACTAAAACAAGAAAACCCCCTTCCAGTACCAAGTTTCAACTGGGGGTTCAGGAGGCTGTATTCAACTTGCGGGCTGGGAGGCAGCCAGGCTAGAGAACTCCCTGCTAGGCCCACATGCCCGGTGCTAGATAGAAATGTGCATACAAATTTGGAATTGAGATGCAAAAAGGTCAGATGAGGCCATGAGGTAGGTCCCTCAGGATGAGATTTGTGCCCTTGTAACAGAAGACACCAGGGGGCGCTCTCTCCTTCTCTTCCTCTGGAATGTATGTGAAGGTAGACATAAATACTCCAAGAAGGTCCTTACCAACCTGTGCAAGCTGCCCCTGCTGAAGGCCGACAAACCCAGCCTGGAAAGCTGGGTCTGGATGGGCTGACTGAGTTGGCTCTATGTGGCATTGAAGGATGGGTCTTAAGAGGGGATGTCCCAGTCACCAGGTCTGGAGTGGTTTCTTTGGCAGCAATCACAATAAAAACGGCAGAGGAGCAAGGGAGGAGCGGCCTCTCCATCAGAGCCGTGCTTTCTGAAAATGAGAAACAACAAGAGGCAGAAGAGGGATCGGCACTGAGGCTCCCACCGTGCCGGAGCCAGAGCGGGACCGGCACCCGAGGATGAGAAACCTCAGGAGGCGCGAGAGAACAGCTAAGTGTCTGAGAGGGGTAAAGCCATGAAGGGCTCCCCGACTCTCTCCAGCCTGCTCTCTACTCAGCCAGAACCCAGGGCATGCAGTGTCCCCATTCCTGAACCAGAGCCCAAGGCATGCAGTGTCCCCATTCCTGAAACAGAGCCCAGGACATGCAGTGTCCCCATTCCTGAACCAGAGCCCAGGACATGCAGTGTCCCCATTCCTGAACCAGAGCCCAGGGCATGCAGTGGCCTCTATTCCTGAACCAGAGTCCAGGGCATGCAGTGTCCCCATTCCTAAACCAGAACCCAGGGCATGCAGTGTCCCCATTCCTGAACCAGAGCCCAGGACATGCAGTGTCCCCATTCCTGAACCAGAGCCCAGGGCATGCAGTGGCCTCTATTCCTGAACCAGAGCCCAGGGCATGCAGTGGCCTCTATTCCTGAACCAGAGTCCAGGGCATGCAGTGTCCCCATTCCTAAACCAGAACCCAGGGCATGCAGTGTCCCCATTCCTGAACCAGAGTCCAGGGCATGCAGTGTCCCCATTCCTGAACCAGAGCCCAGGACATGCAGTGTCCCCATTCCTGAACCAGAACCCAGGGCATGCAGTGTCCCCATTCCTAAACCAGAGTCCAGGACATGCAGTGGCCCCATTCCTGAACCAGAGCCCAGAACATGCAGTGTCCCCATTCCTGAACCAGAGCCCAGGGAATGCAGTGTCCCCATTCCTGAACCAGTGCTGGCCTTTGGTAGATGTCACTCTGGGGATGTGGCTCTGAGAGGGACTTTGTTTTTGTTTTAACAAATGGGATTACTAGTGTATGTGTAATACATGTGGATGGGTAAGCATGTGTGCCATAATGTTTGTGTGGACGTCAGAGGCAACTTGTGGGAGTCAGTCCGGGCCTGCCACCATTTGGGTTCCATGGATCAAACTCAAATGGTCAGGCCTGGCAGTGAGTACCTTTAGCAGCAGAGCAAATCTGCCAACATTAAAACAAAAGCAACAAATAAAAACACAAAAACCATGAGCACCCTCAGTAGCCCAGGCTGGCCTTGAACTCGCACCAATCCTGAAGCGGCCTCCCAAGTGTTGGGGTGATAGGTTTGCACCGCCACGCCTGGCTTGAGCTCCCTTCTTGCAGCGGTACATTGGGTCACTCATCCAGCTCTACTCCAATCATCTTCGTCTCCTGGCTCTAGCTTAGTAACCACTGGACATGGACACACCCTTGTGAATTTCTTTTATAATCTCTAATAGCTTTCCTCCTATACAATCAGGTTTTTTAAATGTATGCATTTTATTTCATGCGCATCGACGGTTTTGCCTGAATTTATGTTTGTATGAGAGTGTGGGTCCCTTTGAACTGGAGGGACAGTTTCAAGCTGCCATGTGGGTACTGGGAATTGGACCTGGGTCCTCTGGAAGAGTAGTCAGTGCTCTTAACCACAGAGCCATCTCTCTAGCCCCACAATCAAGTTTTTAAGGTGTGTGTGTGTGTGTGTGTGTGTGTGTGTGTGTGTGTAGGGCAGAGGTCAAGGTTGGGTGTCTTCCTCAATCCCTCCCCACCTTGTTTTATGAGACTGATTTGACTAGGCCTGGCAGCAGCTGGAGATCCTCCTGTCTCCACCATCAGAGTGCTTCTGGGGATCTGATAGCTGATTCTCACACTTGCGTAGCAAGTGCCTTGCCAACTGAGTCAGCTCTCCAGTCCTCTTTTGTGTCTCTTTTGGCAGTGCTTTGGGCAGATAACCCTGCCTCCCTACACCATCTTGTCAGGCTCTGGTATCAGGGAACACTGGCCTCAGGGGATAAGTTGAGAATGGCCC